CAAATTAGATGAAATATTAATTGTAAGGCTATGATTATTATTGAAATGAAAACTGTAAAGTTGGTAGCGAAATACTGATATCTGCTAATCTACAACACCATCTGGTGGTTGGCTCGCTAAACATATGCACACTCGATTATTTCACAGTTTTACACTTTGGCCTCCCATCTCCGCCCCCTAGTAACACTTGTCCTTTACTTGCACAACTTGGAACTATGATGTCACGAACTATTCGTCTCTAGTAAAACGCCCTGTTGCCACTTCATGGCAGCCAATCATAGCGTGCGTCTGGAGTGCTAGGCCAACATAGTCATCAAACCAACGCTAGATAATTATTCAGGAACGTCAATAATCTATATAAATATTGTATCCACTTCATTTTGATAAAAAGCTAAAATCTACCTACAAACCTACAGTACAGGACTTGATACTAACAAACATTGTAGTTGAAGAACATTAGACTGCAGATCCAAACTGAATACTAGCAAATCTATTCAACTTATAAACAGCTATTTTACTATAACTTAGCGTAATTTTAACAACAATTACTGTTTAATTAAAAATATTAAACTGTTGGTTTCAATATTTATGTCAACATTTCTACACCAATAAAGTCCTAAATAAAATATTAAACAAATATACCACTAAAAGCTTAATTGTTATTCTGTTTACAATAAGTTATTTCAGTTAAATACCTATACGATCATCCTAGTCTAATTACTGTTTTTTTACGATTATTAGGTACTAATTATCAATTAATCTCCTCAATTTTCGCCTACTTATCTGTTGCCGTCTTTTAGGAAATCCTGAGAATAAATGTGGTAGTACGAGTCTGAATTTGATTAAGTGTATTCTATTTGGAGAAGCAGGTGTGTTATCTACTCGTTCTGACTCTCGCACCATTGCGTTTTATCAGTCATTCTAGTAATAGTCAGCAAAACTTGGAAAATCCCAATTGCGTTTTATCAGTCATTCTAGTAATAGTCAGCAAAACTTGTAAAATTCCATTGCGTTTTATCAATCATCCTAGTAATAGTCGGCAAAACTTGGAAAATTCCATTGAAATCATTCAGATAGTTAGTTGAATTAAGAGTCGGTGGTGTGAAAAAATTTTCATCAGTAAGATACTAGTACGCTGTCTACCAAATAGCGCTAAGTAATCAAGGTTATATGTTTTCATTATGGCAGACTTTTTTTCGATATCATCTCGTGATGAGTCACTGTAGTTTGTATTTATATCGATATAGTTAAAAGTATTAAAATGGAAACCATGAAAAGAAAAAAATAGATATTCACGTTGAGAATTATAATAATCACTATTAACTTCTCATCAAAGCAAGCTACGAGCATAGAACACAAATAAATATTAATCCATTAATGAACATAGCTAATGTATTATACCATTGTTATTTAAAATAATTAGAATACCTTTATTCATTTTACAATGCTAAAATCCGGGGCTCGATCCCCCGAGGTGGATAGTCTCGCTGCTAGCAATATTTTTGTTTATAATATCTCAAAGACGTCTCACGAGGGTTGGCCGGCTTAGAAGTTTGAGTTTAGTCCTAAATCCATATACTAAACTAGCAATGTAAAATAGTCCTCATAATGAAATATATATAATACAATAATAAAATATATATAATAAATAATAAAGCATAAATAATATATATATATATAATAAATAATAAAGCATAAATAATAAAATATATATAATAAAATAATAAATAATAAAGCATAATAAATGAAAATTATATATATTAAACATTTCAACCAATACTGTTAATGAAAGTAACATTACATAAAAAATAAAATAAAACTTATAGTTACAAGATCTGTTTTGCTGTAGATGAGCATTTCTTCATCACGTTGTGCTCTTTCATAAAAACGAAACAACTAACGATGAGAAAATGTCTCGCAAGCTAAACTTCAAGTTATGGTAAACACTTTTAAATGACCTTGGAAATAAGAAGAAGCTGTTCTATAACTAACAGGACTAAAGCCTAAATTTTTATCACATAAAGACGTAACGCTTATTGCAGTGTTTAGAATAATCAAACAAAGCTAATTATATTTCACCCAATAAACTTTTGTTTCCTAATAAATCGAATCAGTGAGTCTTTGACCATTTTAACAAACCACCTGAGGCTCGAATACTTGAAAACCATTTCATAGAATAGTATAAACAATCCGATTGAGAAAACGCTTTCAGCTTACCAAATTTTGCTAAATCTGTACTGAAATTAAAGTCACTATTCTTATTCAATCTTGGAAGTTCCCTAGACAAACATCAAAACTTTTCATTACAATACGAAACCATTTATAGCATACGAGATTGTTCATGCGAAATAGATATGCACTCATAAACTAACTGCTTTGTAAGCATTGCATGTACAACCAGAATCTAATGTAATTAAACAAATTTCATTCTGTTTAACAAAAAACAATTATCCTTTTATCTTACGTTAGTATCAATGTCACAAAGTAGCTGTGGAAATTGTGAGGAAATTTAAAGTGATTATTGTTCTCTAACGAGACTAAAGTTTTGAACGGATAGAATCAATAGAAACCAACTAAAAGGCTATCCTTTACATGCACCTCCTGAAAAAGAAACATGGGCTTGTAAAGCCAAACCTTTAGATAATGTAAAATTCGACATTTGAAGAGTTCTATAAAGGCAGTAAAACAAATGATAAAAATTAACTTGTTGAGGATTATATATAAATAACAGTAATATATAAGGATCGAAATTTTTTGGAGGGAACAAAGTTATTGATAACTAGTCAGTTGTAAAATATTGCCTAAAGCGTATAGAATTATAATAAACACAACCACTCACTGCGATTTTCAATAGACTTAAATCTCTTCCTCTTCAGGAACTAATCGAACGAAATGTGCTATACACTTAAACTTTCCAAACACTAATGCATTCATGAAAACGTCACTAATATATCAATTAATAGGCCAAAAAATGAACAACCATTCAACAAGGAAACCTACAAATCCAAGAGTCTTATTTTTAAGTAAAAAGTGAACGGACTGCTTTCGTTTTTCAGAATATTACATCGTTTAAAATTCCTTTATATTGTCAATTAAATTACAGGCAATTCTCGAAAGCACGATTTATTATGTATAATATTTTTCCAGACACCGTGTAACTTCTTATAGGGTTCGTATCCCAGTCCCACCAAACATGCTCGTC